TATCGATTTAAAAAAAAAGATTCAATTGACTTTTTATATTCGAAAACAATCACTTTTTATCTCATATTTTAATTGGTTTTTTAATAATGATTTATCTTATAAGATAAAATGTTTTTATTCAAATATGTTTTTATTGAGAGTAAAAGCATACGTAATTAAAAGAAAACTGTTCGAGATTTCGAACGCCGAAGATGAAACTCGTTTTGCTAAATTTTCTTTTTTTTTAATTATATTTATATAGAAATAAGTGAAATTAAAGACATACTACTTTATTATCAGCATTTATTTTATATCCATTTTAAGTTAACAAATATAATAACTTATGGTGACGAATCATTCTTCAATTTATTTTATACATGGAAAATCAAAATTAAACATTCATTTACACTTAGGTTTAGAAACATTTTCTAAAGTTCAAATTTCGAACAGTCGTCATCATTCTACATTTCATTTAATATCATTCGATTATTAATAAATATATATTTTCAACTAGTGATAATGTTTTAAGCATTCGTATTTAAATTAGTCTTAATGGTTTGATATTATTTGCATTCGAATTAACTAATTCCAAACTGTTATCACTAAATTAGCACTATTTTTTATTCTAATAGATTGATTACTAACTACTAGCTATCAGATATTCGAAGCTTCCAAAACAGAACAATTGTGTTCTGGTTTTGAAAATGAAATGATTACTTAATAATAACAACTTGATATTAATTAACTCTAATGCAAAAAATACCAAAATATTAAGAATAGTTTTAATCCTAATGTTATTGTGACACTCCTATTCGTATTCGTTTTTAGAAAACACAATAAATATGAAATAAGTGCGAATTTTCATATTCGTAAATACGAAAACTTTTCTCTTAATTGATTCAATTTTAATTTGCAATGAAAAAAAATAATATTTAATCGATTTGTACGTGTCTATCATATTGTAATTAATAGTAGTGAATGAATAGTTATATTCAGTTATTTTCATCTTGATGCAATTTTCATTTTATCATCATTAACAAGAAACGTACTTAGTTTTTATGAAAATCTCTGTACCGAAAGAAAAATATTAGTCTGGAAATTTATTTCATAATGTTGTCATATCTTACGAGGCAAATCGCTCTACTAATGAATTGATTTTGAGTTGAAACAATATGCATCATGTAGAACCTAATCAGTTATGAAAAGCTTGAGAAGAGTTCGGATCTTTAGGCTATTGATGCAGAAATATTGCATATTGATAATATTTTTCCAGTCAATACTATTGTCGCTCTCAACAAGACCAAAAAAACTTATTCTCGAACCGTTGCAAAGGGACAGACTTCTATGAAAATGATTTATTGTGTAAGTTGCAAGTATTTTGATTAGCTCTTATCCTTGAAATAAGTTCATCGAATTAATTTTCATTAAGGTCTACTTCTGTGCAAAATATCGAGTCAAAGCTTGCAGATCAATTTACTTCGGAATGTTGATGATGACTAATGGCATTGACTTAAAAAATATCATCAAAATTTAGTATCTTGCCAGAAATTAAGCTGAGAGTCTGAACGCTTCTTCAGAATATTCATAACTCATTAGGAATTTACATGATACAGATAGTCTTGACTAATTAAAAATGATTAATCACTAGCAAGACTTCTCTTTTTTGTTTAAGTTAAAGAAAAAGAATTGTTTTATGAAAGTTGTTCAAGTCTTGTAAATTGTTAATAAGAATTTTTTTCTGATTCTCTGAATAAAATATGAGAAAGATTGTATTTAGTTAATAAATAATAAATGATGAAAACTCGAAAAAAGAGAAAATTCGTCTTACAATATTTCCTACAATTGATTTTTCTGCCATTTTTTCTGTAGTAGCAACTGCAGCTTCTTCTTTTGGTACTTCTTCTTTGGATTGATCATCTTTTTCTTTTGGACGCGTCAATTCCGTTATATTTTCATCACCCAAATCGATTAATCTAATATTCAAAGAAGTGTAAAATTAAAAAATACTTTGAAAAGGTAAAATGACAAACCTATGTTCATCTGTCTCCCATCGTCCCCAACTAAGATCAATTCCTCCAATAAAGGCAATTCGTTGGTCAATAATAACAGTTTTTTCATGATGAGAATAAAAATATGATGATTCAGTTCCCGGTATGACGCTGTGATTAGGATGTCGAATAATTTTTATATTTTTTTTCGTTGGACTTTTAGCCATTAATTTTAATTTTGTATGCGAACTATTTAAACCAACAATTGATGTAACATCTTTAAATAGTAATACATAAACACGAATTCCTTCTTCCTAAATATTTATATGTTTATATAATAGGAAAAACAAAAAAAATTTAAAAAACTTGCAGCTCGTCTATCAAGTAGATTATCAAGTCGCATTGAATCATCATTCCAAGGACGAATAAGCGTTACTTCAGGTGAAAGCCACCAAGCAGCAATAAATATCTCTTCTCGTGCTGCTAGTATAGCTTTAGCTACTGCTTCCATATATGATTGACCATTAATAAACCTGTCTCAATATAAAACAACATTTTTTCTTATTTATGACGTGTTTCTCTTATTAAATTCTTATTAGATATATTCTAAAAGTTTATCTTAAGAATTTATCTTTTCGAAAGTTAAATTTTAGTTTTAGAAATGAATTTCAATTCTAATAGGTTTAAATAAAAAAGTAACTAGTACAATCCCTGTTAAATTAAACTGTACAAGACTATGTAGCTCATCTTGCTACTGCAAGATAGATTGTTTTATTTGTTCTTTTTTGGAAAGCATTTCTAATCTTCGAGAAATGCTTCATATATTACAATGATACATTATACATACATAGTCTTTGATCGTATATTAACAACAACTCTCAAGGCTTGTGGAAGACACAAGTTTCTACTCAACATACTTCAAAATTTCTTTTAGATCATCTTTCATAAAAAAAGTTAATATCTTTTCTTAAGAAAATTCAATAAGAAATGCGTTACAAACCAGTGAGCATATTGTTGTTGTCTTCTTGGTGCATATGAATTAAAAATATTTTGTTCAGTAAAAAGAGATTTATTTTTAACATTCATAAAACATTCAAACCAAATATCTCTTTCATCTTCTTTTTCAAATTTAATAAGTATTGAACGTTGTGAATTTTTAATTTTAATACCATTATTAGTTGAAGTTTTTCTATAACCTTGTTTTAGAGAAATAGCTCTATCAATAAGCATTGGAAATCCAATTAAAGCTGAATCAGAATCCATATAAACAAGATATGAATCTTTAAGAACAAACCATTGTTGTGCATGATGACATCTTAGCTTATCACATACAAATGGAACTCGAAGAAATATTGAACGACCACGAAAATCATCAATTGAACGTTTTGCAATAGCACCTTCTTTTAAACTAATACCCAAACCATGTACAAATGATAATGAACTTACTTCAAGAAATTCTCTCTATTTAATTAAATTTAATCAAAGTTTTAGTTTTTAGTTTTTTTATATACTTACTACAGCGATATGTTCACGAAATTTTGGATGTTTTAATACTTTATTTAAATAATTTTGTAATGTTTTCTATAAATAAAAATAAATAAAGAAACAAATAAAAAGAAAAAAAAAACAATGAAATCTTACACATCGATCTTCAATTGTAAATTGATTTATAAAATCAATTCGATCATTATGAGTTGGAAAACATGGTTGTTCTTCTTGGTTTTTAATTACTGAAGGATTTTCGTCATTATTCGATTTTTTTTCTGATAAACCACTTCTTCAAATTAAATATTTAACAAAAAAGAAAAAACTCAATCAAATCTATTTCAGATAATATTACTTGTTTAAACTACTTAAAGATCGTCCAGTTGCACGTTCAACATAATGAGTCAGAGCTTTGTGAAGATCATGAAAGTGTTTATAACGTTTTTTAATAGTCCATTCAAATGCAGAACCATGACGAACTGTTATTGTATATCTTTTAAAAAAAAATATATTTCATTTTATAATATAAATCATTTTTTAATAAATTATTATTAGTATTTATTTATGAAAAAAAAACTTACAGATAAGGATAAAGAAATTCTGTAACAGGATTATACTCTCTTTCTCCACTTATGCTAACAACTTCAACTGGTAAACCATCGACAAATGTTTTATTACGTCTCAAATAGACTTCTTCCAGTGGACGTTTTCCATCTATTTTAAATAAAATTAATATAAAAAATTAGAAACTTTTTTTTTTTGTTATTAATACCTGGGCAGAGTTGTAGAGGTTCTTCAATAAAATTCCAATTTGGGTAAGGTAAATATTCAATACGTTGTCGACGAGTATTGCCTAAAAAATATATTGAGAATATCGAAAGATAATTCATTAAGATAATATAAATTAATTTACAAATTGCTTATGCATGAAAGATTTAATAAATAAATATTCGATTTCTTTTAAAAATCTGTAATAATTATTTATAAGAAATATTAAATTAAAATGTTAGAAATAAATTTTTCAATAAAATAATCTCATTGAAAATAAGATCAACTAAGGAAAGAATATTTTTCTCAATAAAATAAATTTTTATAATAAATCTATGAAGATATTATTCACGTATAAATTATCTTTATTTTCAAAAGTAAATCAATAAGAGATATGTGTTATAATAATATATAAATAAGTAAAACTCTATATTTACCTGATATCAAAGTCATTTCTGCCATATTAGATGTAGGCTTAATAAGACACTCAATACCAACGGATGAATCCATTTGAGTCATTATTCTATTTTTATTCAAATGAATGAATAAAACAAAGTATGTTTTTTAATATTAACTAGATGATATTCGAGTGAAACTCGAATACGAAATGCAATGTGAAGCACAGATATAAACTTTCGATAAAAAAGACTCATCGTTATTAGGATCTATCGTAAGTTGCTCTTCCCTTAAAAATGTTTACGTTTTATTAGAATCAAACATTCTATTGTCGCCGCAAATTGAAAAAGTTATATTTCCATCAATCAGTTGATCAAAGTGAGTATCTATGTGAAAAATAACCATAGTAAAATTCGTCACTACAAGAACCCTATTAATGTCTGTCAACATATCATTGACGAATGCTGTTGATTGATTGTTTAATTGTGTATATGATTCCTTATCTATAATCAACAGTAGTCACAGCTGTTGTATACATGAGCGAAAAAAGTGACGCTTAACTTTTATTTTAGTTATCTCAAAACTTGAAAATAGTCAAAGTTGTGAAATATTTGTCTTTTTGAGACGCCATTTGTAAAAGTCCTGGAGATAATTGAAAGACAATGTTAGTAGTTCGATCTCGATAATTTCAACTCACATTTGAGCGAGTATTTTCTGAATTTCCATTTTCGAGATCATCGTGACACAAAACGACAATTTTTAATGTCTAATTAGAGAAATTAAGGTAGAAAGAAAATTAACTAGATGACATCACGACAAAGTCGAGAATGCGAACTAACATGCAAAACACAAATATCAATTATTCAAAATAATAGAAATCTCGAACAAAACAAAAAATCTTCTTTCCAACTTATCATAAAACGATTGTTCTCAAAAGATATTTATCATTTACTGATATAATGCTTTTTGCATCTTGGTAAATTGGCAAATTTCTATTTCTATCGATCAGCTGATGACAATTAGAACAAAATTGAAAAATAGACATGGCTAGATTTATTGCTATGAGAACTCTAACGAGACCTAACAACTTATTTCTTAGGAAAGGTATTAATTGATTGATCATTCAATCACTTAGATGATCTATTATCTCTAACCAGCTGTATTCACAGCTCTCTTACAGGTAGATTCCCGTTTCGTCGAAAACTTAATTGATTTTCCCGTTTCGTCGAAAAATTTGATTTATTTTTTTTTCATCATTCCCGTTTCGTCGAAAATGAAAAAACGACCGTTCCCGTTTCGTCGAAAAATTAAAGTGTAATGAAAAAAGTATAATCAAAGTGATAAACTCAATTTCTTTGATTGACTTAAACTATTTCCTTAAAAAGAAACTAATTGATATCGCTATACTAGGTAGTAATCTGTGATTTTACAAAAGTAAATATATGTGGAGTAAAAAGGGAAAATTCATTTTTTTTTGTTAAATTCATTCATTATTACACAAAACGATGCTATGTATTGTTAAAAGTAACCGTAATAAACCAACTTTATTACTTGATACTTTTCGCTGCATACAAGATAATATTTTAAACACAACTGTTTATTGGAAATGTGAAAATCGTTCATGTCCTGGACGTGCTATACAATATAGTTCCAATCCAGCAAGCATGAAGAAATCACATAATCATGGTGCTGATGAAATGAAATGTAAAAAGGAAGAATTTCCAATGAAATTAAAACTTCTCTATAATAATTTTTTTTTTGACAAACTTATCTACGAATAATTAGGCACTATTCGTAATTAGTATGACGAAAAAATCTCATCAAATGATATAATCTATTATTCATTGATTAATTAGAATTTTTTTTTCGACGAAACGGGAATAGTCGTTTTTTCACTTTCGACGAAACGGGAATGGAAGAAAAATACATTTTCGACGAAACAGGAAAATCAATTAAGCTTTCGACGAAACGGGACCTAATCTTGATAATCGATAGACTAATTTTAATCTAATTAATCTTAGAAAATGTTTGTATTGTTGTTTGAATGTATTTTTCATTTGAGTTTTGCTTTATCGAAACTAAATTGAACATTTCCTTATTATAATTGTAGGGAGACTTGCAAATTCAAACATTCGATTATAATAATAGTTACAATAACATTTATAGATATATCTATATCAACAATATACTGACTATTTAATTATTTAAGCCTTTATAAATATAACGGCTTGCCTAGAGAAAAATTTTTTTTTCCGAGTTGAATAGATATAACTCTGTTACTATATGAAGTTTTTAATGACGACTAGGAATTGGACGTTTACTTTATACAAAATAAAAAAAAAAGATTTTCATATCGAAAATGTGGTTTTAAATTTTTTTTAAATCGTATTTTAAATTTTTTAACCAAGAAATAAAAAAAAAGAAAATGCTGAGGGACAGTTTTTTAGATTCTTATGCAGTTTCCAATTTCCTCTTCAGTTCACTATCTTCCGTGTCGACGTATCAATTTCATTTTTATGTAGAACGATTAGTTGCAAAGAAAAAGAAAAATACTTATAAAAATCAAATCATTCTGAACAAAAATACTTTAGAGAAAATCTTTTCTACTGTCTAAAAGCCTGTTCGATGCTCGACAAAACTAGTTCTATGAGCATATCATTTGGAAAAATAGTTTCAAAAAGATATTTGAGTTTTCTAGTCAGCATGTCATCAAAAGGATCTTTTTATGTAAGAGCGTTACGCAATGATAAAAATCTTTCTAGACATTCGAGGCTTCAACCAAAAAAGGTTGTTCTTGTAGGTTAAATCGAGTTTGATAAGCTGCATCGAATAGAGTTTGAACGAACTTTTCGATATAATTGAAGAAGAATATGTCAAAAACATAACAGTGTTATGTTTGGACAAGTCGATAATCGAATCATTTCGATAATATAATAAGTTAATTCTATTAATTATAAAGAAAAAAAATCGATGATTATCTATTTTACTAATCTCATTGAAATTTCAAAACAATTTATCTTTGATCAATTTTTTGTTATATCGACATATTATTATCATTAAAGATGAAACAGGAAACAAAATTTGCTAATTCTTAATGAGATATTTTTCATTTTTCTTGCTCATTGCTCATATATTTAAATGGTTAAAAATATTTCTAATATTTATGTTTGATTAACTTTTGAAAAGTGAAATTTCATCAAGATAAACAACTGAAATTTATATAGAAATCAGTTGTTTTATTGTTTTAACTCTTTTGAATGCTTGGTATAGTAAGTGAATGGAAAAAAGTTTTGAATAGAATCTATTGATTCATATAATGGCTTGAATGTTAGTAATGTTCCCACTCTAGAACACTTGTCTCTTACTTGTTGATGATTTAGAGCGATAATTGTTAACAAAATATCCTTGTTAATAGCGAGTTCGATTAGAAAAGAAAGATCCATTTGACAAAGAAATTGTTTAACATAATCTATATGAATATCATATAAAATAAGTACAGTTAAATAAGCGAAATTAATGTTAATTTTCATCGCTGTTGTTTTTTTCTCGCTGTTCAAATTGATTAATTATTTCGAGTATTTTAAGTCGAGATAAATCTCAAGCAACATGTTCAAAGAAAATACATTCGAAAGGTTTGACATCATCAAAAAGTAATAGAGTAGTAACATTTGAGAACGTCTTATTAATATCAAAGAGTAAAAATCGATTTCGAATGAACATAAAATATCTAAAATTAAAATTTTGTCCAATGATTCAATAATGAATATCAGATTTGAGATGAAAACTTAAATAAAATATTATAACATTTTGTCATTGAATATACAAAATAATTTTTGACAATAAAAATAATTTAATTAAAAATCTTTATTCAAAATATTTTGAAAGAAAAACTTCATTTTTCATCTTGAATTCGTTAAATTATATATTAATCAGCATTTTAACAATTCTAAACATTGAAATCCAATCGAATGAAATACTTTCAAACAACATTGTGTAGTTTCTCAAACAAAAAAAAATTTATTTAAAAAACTAAAATGTGATCTTTGCCATCATGTAACACATTGTTCAATGATGTTTGCAATTTTGAGATATATTTTAATATTTTCAAAAGAAATTATTTAATTGATGAGAAATGGACACATTCTTTTGTGTTATAATTAAAAAGCTTGTTAAGGCAGCTCTTGTGGAGCTAACAATGTGAAATTTACGTATACCTTTAACTTTGTTACCTGGCGCATCATCTATATACTGACAGACTTTTTGTCTACTATAGTTGTTTTCACTGGCAATCGATGAAAAGAGCGATGATGTGGGTGTGAATATTTCTTTTTCTCCTCACACACCCACACTGTACGGAAGAACACAAAGATAAGACACTTTCAGTTTTAAATGAACGCTTACACAAAAACAACCTGTCTAATTATCTATTCAACTGCTGTTATAGAAAGGAGGATCTTGATGCAGGTGTTGTTAGAGATATGGTTATACATAGAAGACTTTGTATATCTGTGTATATATGAATGCTATTTACTCTTGATACACATAGATATTAGATTCATAGTCATACTCTCTGCAGAAAATTTTTTTTCATAGACCATTACATTTTGAAGTTTTTATCATTGCAAGAGACAAGAAAGAGAAAACTGTAACAATCATGTAATTCTCAGAATCATTGAATGGTTAGTTAAATAGTAAAATAGACTTAACTTGTGTGCTCGTTTTCGTGTCAAGCAGTCTTTCAAAGTCAAAACTCTGTTTTACTTTATATTTCACTAGTTTCTCATACTGAACTAAATTTCATCTGTTGCATTTTTAAGTTCTTCATGAGTTCTATGAACTCATTCATTGTCATCACTCAAACATGCTCACAAAAGGTTAAATTGTTGAATTCAAACTTAAATGACTACGTTTTCATCACTGTGAAAAAAATTTGACTTATTGCGAGTTTCATTGACCAATTAGAATAAGTTAATATGATGTTTGAAGCTTTGCCATGACATCTGAGATTCTTTCAAATGTTGAGTTTTCAATGGTTTTGCACGAGTCGAACAATTCCCCTTTGCATAAAAATTGTACGAATGAATTAAAACTGCTGGAGAGATTGCACGTGACTTTCTTTGTCATTAAAAATTTGTCAAATGACATCAATTCACGTTTTGTTTTCTTATATTATGACATTTTACCTTGTATTCGTATATAGTCATCAGTTTGTATTCAATGCTGACAACTATTTGATCACAATAATTGATGAGTTCTTTCCAAAGTTATTCATTGAAGTCAATAGTGAATAAAATTTCTATAGGCAATCAATTGAGATGATTTAATGTTGAAATTATTAGTAGCTACTGAATTTTCCTCATTGATACTTTGTTGATTAATCATTGCCAACTTAAAATAGTCAAAAAATAAGAAAGACAATGTGATGGAACATTAAAGACATTCGTTTATCTCAAAGTATTAGATCCTTATTTGAATTTCGTTTATTAATCATAATAAATCAACATAAGAAGATTCATTACAAAAACAAAACATTAAAAATCAAATATCAACTATATATAATAAATTTTAAAATATAATGTTCATATTTTCTTAAATAAAAATTCTCTAAAATTATTCTTTATCAATAACATTAAGTACTTCATAACAAACACCCATTGTATGATAATCAGTTTTTCCAGTTGGTGATTTTTCATCAGAATATTTTTCATTTGTTTGTGTTAATATTCTATACCATCCACCATCTTTATGATCAACAAAATATTTCCAACTATAATCCCATATTTTATCATACCATTGCCAATATTTTTCATCTTTTAATTTATCACCAATTAAAGCTGCAGTTGCTAAACTTTCACATTGTACCCAAAAATATTTATCACCATCATACAAATTTCCTTCAAGATCATAACCATAAATTAATCCACCATTTTTTTCATCCCAACCATATTTCATTGCACGATCAAATAAACGAATAGCACGCTCAATATGCCATGGCTGTGGATCATGTCGATCAAGTATAAGTAGAAGTTTAGCCCATTCAGTTTGATGACCTGTTTGAATACCCCATGGACGTAATGCATTTGTTCGAACATTTTTATTATATTCAAAATCTGGTGTCCAATCAGAATGATAATGTTCCCATATTTGATAATTTAATTCTTTTGAACTTTCTGTCATAACTTTAGCTAAATCTTTAGCACGTTCTAAATAAATTTCATCTTTTGTTACTTCATATGCAGCTAACATAGCTTCACATGCATGCATATTATCATTTTGACCACGATAATCTTGTAATTGCCAATCACTTGTTGCTTCATTTGCATATAAACCTTTTTCTTTTAACCAAAAATGTTCTTCCATTAAATCATATGTTTCACGAATCCATTCACGTGCTTGTACAATACCAGTACGTAATGCACATGCATATGCTAACATAACAAATGCTAAACCATAACAATGATTTGTATCATCAGTAATTTTTCCATCATAAATAATCCATGCATAACCACCTGTTTTTGGATTACGATGAACATTTCGAATGTAATCTAGACCATGACGTGTTCGTTGAAGATAATCATCTTTACCAAAATGAATATATGCCATAGCATAATTAAAAATAAATCTTGTTGATGATATTAAAGTTCGAGTATAAGGATCATATATTGTTCCATCATCTTTATAACATTGATAGAAGCCACCTTGAGGATCAACTGATTTATCATAAAAATCAAGTATACTTTGAACATGTGATATTAAAAATAAACGACTTCGAAAGTTCATTTTTATTATTATATATTATCTAGAATAGAATTATGTAATATTATGCAAATAAATCATGTTGTTCTTTTTATACAGAAATACAACAAAGGCTAATTGAACATATATACTTCACGGAACTGCGTTTAACTTATAATCTAAACTTATGAGATGATCTAACAGTCTATGCACTAACCAAAAAATTTATACTCAAAAATTATCTATATAAATATTAGTTCAAATTCAATAAACATCTTGATAACTCTTCAGAAGCTCAACAATACCAGTTAACTTTTAAGAGAGCACCCACGAGCCCATTGAGCATGGTGCTAGATATCGAAGCACTCGTCAAAATTTAGTTTTCTGATTTGATATTCTCATCTTATTCAGCATTATCTAAAACCTCTAAATCCAAATTTTTAGCGCATTTGGTTGAGCTGNGGAACATTCGTTATTTACATTTTACAGCTTTTTGTATATCTTTAGTTTTCGTCTTTTTTCAAATATACCTAAAACTATTTTTGAGCCTAGTCATCTATGGTTTTGTAGAGAATTTTAAGCGCTATCTTTTGATAATAATGAGAGCTTTACTTACAGTGATAATAGACAGGAAATCTTAAAAATACTGGGAGGCTCATTATTCCTGGGACACCCGATATTATACAAGAATAAATATATTACAAAAAAAAACAATGAATTTATTTTGTTTAGGTTATGTTCGTAATGTAATGACCAATGATCATTTTCGTTTTGTTAGTATATGGCAAAATCGTCGATTGTGGACATATTTAGTTGCTTTATGTATTATGATTGTATTTGTAAGTTTAATTATTTATATAACTATTTGAAGTTTTTCTTGATTGTTGTTTTGTATTTAGACAGTTAGCATTTCGATGCTTCTTCGTTATTCACATTTTCAAATATTTCTTTTTATTAGTGAGTTATTTAGATTAAATATTTTCTGTAGATTTAAATTTATTTTTTAGTTGATCTCTTATACGTATAATTGAACATAATACATCTATTATATTTCCAGCTGCACCATTATTAACAGTTATATTAGCATTAATCGGTAAGAAATTTATTTCTGTTGTTGAAATGAATTAAAAATATTATTTTTTTTTTGTATTTTATAGGTATGGAAGCAATTATGTGGGAATTTTCCAGTGATGCATCAACTGGTAATGAATTTTTAATTAATATTATTATTGTTATTTTGTTTTCTTTAGCTTTTTATATTATACTAATTGTATGGATATCAGATCAATACATAGGCGGCGGAGCCATTAGGCTCGAAAGGCTCTAGCCCACCCGAGATTGGAAGTGGGTAGGCTGTGGTCATTTCAAGCTAGAGCAGATAAAGGCTTGAGTAAACTCGATTAAATGTAAAAGTTTTTTTTGTACTATTGTTAGTTTTTATGTTTCTGACGAATAACGCAGTTTTATAAGATCAGTTCATATTTTTTTGCTACGAACTAGTTTACAATTAAGCATTGATTGGACTTTGTCAGCATCTATATCGACATCTAATTCTTAGTTCTTAATATAAGATCGCTGAAATAGGCTTCTTAGATTTATATTTAAAATTACTTTTAAACCTTATAGACACTTGTATAAGATTACTTCTGCGGCACACAAATGCGAGCCATAGAGTGTCAGGTAATGTCTTCCTTTCAAAATAAAAAATAAAAATCCAAGGACAGTGTTAACGAAAATCCGTTTTGTGTTTATACTTCAGTCAGTAATTTAATCATACTCAAGGTAAAATAGAACATCGTCAGAACCAACAAAAACTTCAACATCATCTATTCTGATTATCTTTTAAATAATTAAATAGAGAAAAATATTTTTCAGAGCTAAATAGTTTTATTTTTATTCTTGGTACATATCACCGCGGAGCGGTTTTGAAGGGTAGGTGTTCGCAAAATAAAATTTTATTTTGCGAACACCTACCTTTCAAAACCGCTCCGCGGTGATATGAAATAGTCTTTCTCATTGTTATTTACTTTGCGTCTGAAAACAATAACACATTAGATAGTTATTTATACAGGCTTAAGATCTAGCAATAAAACCTAAAACGCTACGCTTCCAACAATATATCAATGAAGGAAATCACTTCTTAACTGGCTTCTACCATGCAAAAAAATTCGAATTGAAATCAAATTAAAATCGATTTAAAGTCGGTTGCAGTCAAATGAAACTAACTATTTTTGAACCAACTTTAATCTTAGACAACTGAAAAACTAAAATTTAGTTGAGTATCACAAGTAATTTTGCTGATAGACAATAAAAGCTGTATAAAACATTCGGCTTTAGTTGATTGTTCTTGGTGATAAATGAAAAAAATCGGTTTCCGCCAATTAAATTCAAATTTCATATGAAGTTTTTATCGAATATGATCCGAGCAATTGTATGAATCAATGAGAAATTCTATTAAAATCGGTTAAAAAATGATTAAAATCTTATGATTATAGTTGATATTCAAAGTGTTTCTAGTCGGTTTCAATCTATTATCAATCCTCATTTTTTCAATGGGGAGACTCGATTTGGCTGAAAAGTTGAGCCTACCCTAGACAGAAATCGTTCCGCCGCCTATGGATCAATATGATAGTATATGTTGTCATACACTAATAAGTAAACGTCATTGGGTTCGGTAAATGATTTTTTTTTCTAAGAGAAAAAAAAGATAAGATGATTGATTTCTTTTGTTTTCTTTAAAGATTTTTTTTATATATATCATTTTGCATTTTATGCATATCATGCTCGATATAATGGTCAATATTCAGGTTTAGCATTAACAACAAGTTGTTGTTTTATTGTTCATTCAATGTTTTATTTTTTTCATCATTTTGAATTATCTGTTATTGAAGGTCAACTTGTTCATGTATTTGTTGATCAAAATATAATAACACAAACACCTTTACCACAAACAGAAAGACATAGAAAAGAAAATTCACCATCGACCACAACTTAAAATCTCTATAGATTATTAATTACACAATATATATCATTTAATATTTCTTTCTGTTTTTAAATATCCGGTTTTTTTTCTAATGAGTGTATCAGTGAGCTTTTTATTTTTGTCTTATGTTCATATATGTAGTGCTGTGACTATGGTTTTTATTTCTTTAAACAGTATAAAAGAACGAATGTATTGATAATAAATATAATCCCCTGAAGATTCAAATTTTGAACGTATATTTTTTTTACTTTGTATTAAAATACAAGTATTATCTAATTTCTGAAAATTAAAAAAGAGAAATATGTAGTTGATTATAATGATTAAATGAATACCGAAGCTTTTTTCCCCTTAGAAAACAGATGCGTTCATTCAATAATAGAAATCGATTTCCCTACATAAACGAAAGTAAATCATATTTAACTACGTGGAAAGCTGTAAAATCCTTTCCGAACAGCTCATCTATCAATTATTTTTGTTTGAGTCTAGTTTAGACTAGGAACTGACGCTGTGAAAAATTTACTATCAGTCACTATGTGTAATATAGTGCCTACTTCAATTGATTTTAAAAATATTTGAGTTGTTTTATATTTTTATTAGATGATAAATATTCATGAATGACAGTTCATGTACTGTGAATGTTATTTAGTTGAGAGACAACAGAATAGAAAGAGAATCAGGTACAATATGGAACACAATCTGATTGTTTTATATACTTTTTTTCATAGATGTTTTATATATCGTTTTTTTTTTAATTATATAAAATTTTTTAGTGTTCTTGTTATTGATTTGGAGCTTGTTCTTCACCTTGATAAAGTTGTTGTTGAAGTTGTGCCAGTTGTTGAGTGTGTTGTTGCTGAAGTAAGGTAATTTCTTGATCCTGTTGCTGCTGTAGTAAACGAAAAATAATTTGATTAGACAACATTAATTCATTTTGTTAATCAAATGAAATATTTTTGTGGCTTTCTCAGTGCTTAGATTCTCGCTTAGAAACACTCACATAGCGCCAACAAATCACTCGACGAAGTATTGCAGTGCTCATAACGAGCTTTATATATTTTTTCACGATTAAAGAAAGTCAAAAAATGAACTGATCTGTTCTTCAATATACTTTCCTTTTATATCAATTCAACATGCTCGTTGCCTAGACAACTAATTATGGAACATGAAGGAAAGAAAAAATTGACCATTGTGAAAGAAAAACAAACACAGTATATGAGATGTGCGGTAAGGAAAAAAAGCGATGGAAAGTTCTTCCATCAATCGTTGAACTTACGTAAAAAGTTACACAATATATTTCAATATGACTTCAAACAAAAAAAAAACACTATGTAATAAGATATCGCACTGTAGTATTTAACAGACGTTCTACTAAAAAATCAAATATTTTCCAATACCGAAAAACATGGGGTTAACAAATTTTGGATTTGATGCCCTAGGAATTTCAGGCCTTATCTACGATAGATCAATCCAAAATATTACGTTCTAACGATTTATCTCTGATCTACGAGAGCTGTTGGATCATAGACACCCTCAAAAACAGCTGAAAAAAGTGTGAAAAATTGACTTATAATGTTTTTGAAACTTTTAGGTTATAAAGTTTTCACTATTCAAATTGAGTGATATACCATTTGATAGAGCTTAATTTGCTCTACAAAACTATATAGGTCACATTTCTTCTGCATCCCATTATAGAATCGAAAAACTCGAAATGCAGTTTTTTCAGCCTCGAAAGTTTCCTTTTCTTCCAGTATTCTGATTAAATGGCTACATTACAAAGCGATTGTCTATAATATAATTAGTTCATATTGCAGCCCGTTCAATTATGCGTTAAATGATATAAAAGCCATTATTTTGACACTAAGTATTTGTACCTCCAATGGCTATAATAATGTGTGGTTCGTAGTGTTTTGATGCTAAACAGTACTTTGAAAAAACATTCACACTGTTTTCTTATTTTTGTCTAGTATTGCTCAGAATCATCTTAAATAACAACAACATTCATAAGTATAATTTGATACTATAGTACACAGACCATCAGCTCAATACTAAGAACATTCACAATATCGCTAGTGTCGTCCCTCAGATTTATGAAATACCGATTCATACATCAGACGGATGAAATAATTAAAGAAACATTTTTGAAAGTATAAATACCAAGATATCTATTGGTTTAATCACACCTACACTACCAACTACAAGCCTGTTAAGAAGAAATGTGACCTATATAGTTTTGTGGAGCAAATTTAGCTCTATCAATTACTACATGATTCAACTAGAAAGATGAAACTCGGTGAAGAAAAAAAGAGACATTTAATATAAGGCTAAACATAAAGTAACTAAAATATTGTATCACTGGTCTAGATTCAAGTCTAACTATCTTAGCTTTCGACCATTTTGGCGAAGGATTAACACTTTTTGGACAATATAAACGATTTAGTTAACTTTACTTTTTGGGAAAACTCTGACTTTTTTTATTTTCTCAATTAACAACTTCAAAACTTACACAACCACGAACATTGGCATTACATACACCAGCATTGTCACCAGCATCATGTACGGGAACATTTGCACCAGCATTACCATCAGCACTACGTACATTAGCAGTAGCACCAGGATTACGTACATCACCACGAGCACCATCGTTAGTACCTAAAAAGCAAATAATTAATCATAAAAATCATCGTTCAAGTACAAAAAAGAATAATGTAACTTACCACCCATTGGAGGTAGTGTTGAGTAAGGATTGAGACTAGGTCCGTAGAAAAGAAATTAATTCTGAATATTTAAATTTATAGTGGGGAAAATGTGCATACTGATACTACTGCTTCTGGCATTGAAGCTAGACGACTATAAGGTGGAGGATGTTGATCTCGTAAATATCTTGGAATGTTGTTTGATCCGTCGTTGCTCATCTAGAAAAAAAAACACATAATATAGTAAACGCTTTCAAACAAGCGTTGAATGAAACTTGTTCTAGCTACGTCAATACGATAGAGCTAGAATTATATTTTAATATCGTTTTCTTGCGTGTTTTACTTATTTATACGTTCTACTTGGTCGATAGAACAATGACCAAAATAATCATTGTTTTCTTATAGACTTTACTAGATGAAATTCATCTCTTTTGCGTTCTATCAGTAAGATCAGAACGTGCCTAGTCAACTTATAGAATCGATAGTATGATTTATATGCCTAGCTATTTTGATAAAATGATTTTCTTGTTTGAATCATATCATTGTTAGTATACACATTGTGAACATGACTTTATTTATTCGAAAAGAAAAAGAATAAAAATGATTCTCGATTTTCTCCCACGTAAGGTACGATTTGTAATTGTACAATAATATTGTTTAACACGTGCTGTTTAACATACGAAAAAAAACAGATAATCCCCTAATTTATTATGACTTGTCCTTTGTCTAGTTTTTTGACTATATTTGACAACTGTTACATGAAATTCACATTCGTATTGTTGTATCACTTTTATGTAATTTATTTAGATCTTTCCATAATCATTGCTATTATGATTTTTTTATAATTGTTTGTATTGCGTTAGTTTCACAATTTAACTGCTGTCAAGTATTCTTTCTCTACATTAGAACGTTGTTTCGATGCCTACTGTCATATTAAATAAGAGAGACATGAAATACATATAGGTTCAATTGATTTCATTAGATAAACACTATCCTTCTTGGTTCTTTATTTCAATAAAATTATATTACAGTAATTATTTGATGAATACAGATTTAGAAAAGAATATGTTCATTTACTTTTCATTCTTAATTACAAATGGTAGCTTAATATTTAATTTATTTCTTGGATGATTGTTTATTACATTAGACATGAGATAGATTTGATTGTTAGATTTATTCAAAATCGTTGTTCAAATGAGATGCTGACAGAAAGTACCAATATGTCCTTTTTTTTTACAACAACTGTATGTGCAGAAAAAAAACAAATAATTATTTGGTTCTGTTACAAGAGAAAAACAAAGGAAGCATACGAAGTTCTAATACAATAAATTAATAGGCAGGTTGGCATGCAAGACTCGAAAGATTGAATATACATTTATATATATATATAAATAGCAACAAATAAAAAATGATTAAGACCGAAGTTCGTCAATTGAGCGCAGCATAATTTACATTGCTATTCGCTAGTATATGTTTTTGATAGAGGCGTTGAACAGCAATTCATGTGATAACCACTAAAATAACAAATAAAAAAAAAATAAATGAAACAAAAAGTTACGGATCACAAACGTCACAAAACAAAAAGCTCTGAATCATTTTTGAGTATTTCCACAGCCTGTACGCGTCTTATATTTCATACACTGCCATGCTTGTGTTTTAACTTGAAGTACCATATAAGGTGTAAATTTAAGGCAAGTTGAATGTGCAGAACCACCATAGTTCTATAGAAATAACGTAGATTAGAACAGAAAAAAACAATATTTGATAACAGCTTAGTCAAATTACTTTGTAAGTAAACATTTGTTCCGACACTTTTGTGTTTTCATTCACTGGTTCATCATCGCCATAGACGTCACAGTGAATACCCGTAGGAATAGTTATTGACGGATCAGCTGATGTACCTGATGGCTTGGTAGTAACTGTTGTTGTTTCCTCATCATCATATGTCGTTGATGCATCATTTAGTATCTGAGGTCGCAGCAGCGCTCGGAAAAAATATAGGAATACATAGGAATTGACAGACTCAAAAATATAAGACCGTCCTCGACTATATAGGAAATATATAGGACGCTAATTTCTCCCGTAAAAACATTTAGACACCTACAAAACACGGCAGCAGCATTACAGATGATAATATTTTTAACGAATATCGAATGAACTAAATAAAAATATCGTTGAGTTATGAAAGACAATGGCATAGCAGTGCTTTCTACAAAAATAAAAAGAATAATTTGCATCCGATTCCGTTTTAACTGGTTTGGACAGACATGGTATGGAAATTTTAAAAAGTTAAACTGAATAGAGATTAAAGAAATAACTCGTTTCGAGTCTATAGACAACAAAAATAAATCTGTTATTAATACTCTAATAGCATATGATAGCATCAAAACTACCTAATCATAACAGTGTTTCCAATGGCAGGTGTACCAAGCAGAAGTAAAATGTACCGAACATCTGTCATTTTTGATTTACACGCTGCCGTACACTTGCTCAAAAAAATAAAGTGCACAGTGTACACTTTGCGAAAAAGATTTACACTTTGATTTATGAGCCTTAAAAGCTGTAAAGCACATGCTATTAAATTAAATATTATCTATAAATGATAAATTGTGACCTTTTACATTCAAATTCTATGATTGGCTGAATGCAAGTTCTATTCGTTCTCGATATTTGTTTTGTTTACACAGAAACTTGTGTTTGCTT